TGGGCAAGTGCTTACCTGAAATGGCTTCACATTAATTCCACCACTTTTGCCCACTTTCTTCTTGATAAGATCAATTAGCTTTCCAGTAATTTGCTCAGTCACGTAGTCTACGTGACGGCCACCCTGAAGCAACAACATTGAGAGTTCTACAGCGAAGCCCATTACCATAGCAATCATCAATTTTCCGACAGAAACAGGGACGGGAAAAATAACAGTAACAAAATAACGAATAACAAATAATAAAAAAGAAATAACAAAAATAACAAAAAAAAAAACGAAAAAACAACAAAAAATAACAATAAAAAATACCAATCTCAACAGACGGAAACGAAAAGACTATCTGAAATAGATAACATAAAGAGATCCAATTCCACAGAAATCAGACATCGAATTCTACGAAATACGAGAGAAAATGGACCCCGATATACACCAGGCGGGAAGCTAATCTTAAAATGCAGCAAGAAGAGAAAAAATCCCAAATACGAAGGCAAGCCTGAATCCCAGCAAATAACAGCGGAAAAATCAAACACCAACAGGTGCCAAAGAAAGGATCGAATGAATACATATACTAGGGAAAGCGAATATTAGTAAGCACCAACAAAAGACCACAGGCATCAAGGAAAAAATCTAACATAAAATACTGCGATCCTAAAAATTAATAAACTAGACTAGTGGGATACCCTGTGTGTGTGTGTGTGTGTGTGTGTGTATGTGTGTGTGCGTGTGTGGATGCACCCAGTTTATATAAACACATATATATTTATTTGTTTAATTATATACGGTGTGGCGCTGAGGAGCCGGAACTCCCAGAACAAAGTGCTGAACGGCGACTCTGGATCCCGGAGATGAGGAGTAGTGTTTTTACACCCCAGTGGTCAGAAATCATTAAGACTGCAAAAGTTTAACGGGGTAGGGTGCCCAAAGGCTGTGTCGCATCACAGTGACGCAATTGTTCCTTACATAATTTTTAACAAAAAACCATAAATTACTATGTGACATATTATATGACAAAACGAAAATTTCTTAAATCCAAATTTTATGAGGCACCTATGGGGCCAGACCTCAACAAACATCAAATGTAATGAACCTGTAGAAAAATGCGTTTTTCAAAAGCAACAAAAAAATGCAACGAACCTTCGTGGTTGCAATAGAATTGGCGAATGAAACTTGCTGAAAGCCTTTCTCCGAAACAGTCATAGCCACTTCCCATCGCTCGTTCACTTGCTCAAAGGCTACCTTATAGGGTTCGCCATCACTGTCCAGATTGTGCTTCGCATATTGATCCACGTATTGACGGAAACCTTGTACCTAAATCAAAACTTCGTAATTACCTAACAACATTTTTTAATGCATGTTAAATTATGATGCATACAAACATGCCTCCCAAAAGAGCTTCCGATATTTGTGCGCTGTTGGACAGTCGCATAGGAATTAACTTCTATCACGAATCCTATTATTTCGCGTCACGAATTAGCAATAGAACGGTATTTTGAAATGGGAAGGAGAGTGGCAGAGAAAATAAAACTAAGAAATTAGTAGAATTATTTCAATGAAATTATTATAATCGCAAGAAACGTTTCGATTCATTAAGTCGTATACATTTCTTACCATTACCACAACTGGACCACGAAATAATCGATTAAAAAAAGTGTATCAAAGCAATTTTTAAGTCGTATACATTTCTTACCATTACCACAACTGGGTCACGAAATAACTGACAAAAAAAGGTATTAAAGCATTTTTCTAAGAAAAACTGAGAGCTTGAAAGCAGCGCCATAATTTGATACCAAGTAGTGCAGCAATTCGGGAATCGCGCTGCATTATCTACGGCGCAAAACTGCGGTACAACAACAGTTGCTCAAAATGCGGGAAAATGAAGGGTTCAGCACAGGTTGCTTGCATTTAAAAATTCATCTTACCGGGAGCAATTTGCCGTTCAGATACACTTTGACGCCTTTTGTGGAGCCAGCTACGTCGTATGCTCGGCGTGACATCAGTGCCACGATATCGTCGTCCAGTTCGCTCATTCTAAATTTCGCCAGATCCGGTTTGAAGATGACTCGCGTGAAATCTTCGCCAGATGCTTTGGTTACAGATGGATCCTTGTCTTTTGTCATGTTGTCTTTCCATGTCTGGAAGAAGCACACATACTCTATAAAAAGTTTTGGAAAAAAGCCAAAAAAAGCATCAGATATGAGGAGCTTGAGAACCTGTTTGAATGATTTGCCGTATTCCTTAGAGGATGTTTCGACGGTAAATTCCGAGCTAAATATATTGCACAGCTTGGCACCATATCCATTACGGCCACCTGCAAAGTGATCTCATTGCTAGGCATAAAGAGGCCGGAAAGCCTGTAAACACAGCTTCAAAACTGTACCTGTAACTTTTCGCTCGGAATCATCGTAGTTCGAGGATGTGAGAAGTGTACCGAAGATGAGTTCGGGCACATAAACTTGCTCCACCTTGTGCAGCACTACTGGAATGCCTTTGCCGTTGTTGTATATGCTGATCTCATTCTTTTCTCTGCAATAAAAAGCTGTGTCCTGATTGGTACTTACATCTCAACGACACAGAGTTATCACATAATGTGACATATAATAATTTATGGTTTTTGTTCTTTGGATCGAGGACGATCCTATCATTCGTTTGTAAGAGTGTCACATAATGATTTATGGCTTTCTGTTAGAAAATGCATACGGAATAACTGTGTCATTATGATTCAGTATCCTGGTCCCAGTTCAATTTTTGGACACCCTAACCCCGTTAAGGTTTTACGGTCTTAGTGATCTCTGATCAATGGGGTATGAAAACACTCATTCCCATCTCCGGAATCCAGAGTCGCAGTTCACTACCTTGTTCTTGGCAGTTCCGGCTTCTCAGAGCGTTGCCACCCTTTTGCGTTGTTTTTCTTATCTTACGTTACGTTGTATAACTTTAGCTCGTGTATATAATTACAAATATATACATCTATATATGTACATGTACGTATACATATATATAGTGTTTACACACACACACACACACACACACACACACACACACACACACACACACACACAC